ATTGATATTATTACATAGGATTTTATATGATGCCTGGACAACATTATTTTTATTGTGAAACCTAGTTTACTTGCATTCTATCTAGACCTAGAATTTTATTTATATGTTTGTTTATACCTTATCTATCTATCTATCTATCTACTGCTTTGTATAACACTATCTCAAAATAATAAGGGTCATATATCAAATATCATTATTTATTCAGCCAATTCACTCAGTTAATACAAAAAAACATTTTATACTCAGAACTTTTTGGGTACGACGACGACCAACACTCCACTGATATGTCCAAGGAAATTCCCATTACCCCATCTGGTTCCATAAAGAGACAAAGATATTCCACCGGAACAAATGAAGATTGGAATTACCTTTCAAATTCCAGGCACGGGCTGATCAAAGCCAACTTGGACAAAACATTAAGGTTAGGTTTGGAATCGAATAATACCTGCAATGAAGACAAACCCAGTGGTCATATTGATGCTAGAGGAGTACTGTTTCCTTATATTCGACAAATTCATTTAGGTCTGCACTTGCTCTATGAAGATATTAAGTTAAATACTTTGAAATCTGACCAACTACCGCCTTTGATGAAGCTCCTGAATAGACTCTCAGTAGATCTCAATCTGGAAGAGTACAATATACATTATTGGCATGATTTTCCTGATTATGCTATCTTGAACAAAAGTTCAGTTATTCCACAGTCAGAACTGAAAAACGTTCATCAATGGCCTGGGGTTTGGGACAAACCCGTTTCTATTTGGAGGTACGTCTATGACTTACTAGATGGTATATGTCCTCAGCCATACCCTTATCTAACCAATGTGAATACTAGATCAAGAAATATTGTTCAAGTAAGTAGTCGAAATTCTGTATACATTTTCTGTCAATATATTTATTGGTATTTTTTACTCATTTTCAGTTATGTGGGATCTTGTCTGAAATCAATAAGTCAGTACCTTCGGAAATATGTTTAGAAACTTTTGCAAAAGAGATTTCTGGTGTTTTTCCACAAGAACATCACACTCCACATAAAGCTACTCTTATTGACAATTCTGCTTTAGAGCAAGTAGTACTGTTCATGGTTGACATGAAAATAACTACAAGGTAAGATTATTTTAAATATTGTTTCTTATTATTGCTGTCACCAATTTTATATCAATGCATGGGTTCCTATTCAATTAATATGTGATACGCTCAAGCACATGGAACAACTCCATTTTATAATTAAAAAATCAATTGAACAATACTTTATTTTTTCCGCACTTTTTACAATTTTTACTCCTCGCTGTCCTTGGTCTCGAAGAAATCCGTGTTCTGAACTAACATGACAATAATTCTAAAGCCCTCGTGTAAGTACTTCATTCAAGCATTCTCGTATATTCTTAGGATTCACCGTGTCTAAGTGAGCAGTCGATGGCTTCGTGGAGAAGTGCCAAGGCGATAGTTAACCCAGTAGTGGCTCTGTTAAATTTGTGCCATGTTCCATTTGATGCTGAGCTTGACTTCTATAGATTTGGTCTACCACATCTCTGATGTTGTAGATGTCTTTATGCCACCAGCTGATTTACTTCTGTTGTTACTTCTGGACTCTTCTTGACTCTTGATAAGTTGACACAATTCATGAAGTACACAACAGATGAGACTGAATAAATAAATTATACTTTTATGTGCTATACTTCTATGTTGATTAACCGCCTATGTAGCGAGTATTGTGACTTATCTTGTACCATTGTAAAACATGATCGAAGAGATGAATTGAATCTATGTATATATCATTTTTGCTATCCATTTGTCATCTCTGTATCTGTAGAGTAGGGAGGGTGAGTGTAAGCCCACGCACTTAGGCCACATNACTTTCCTTATTTCGAGCTGATCTGCATTTTCGAATAATCTTAGTTCTATTATATTCTTGTATATTATTAGAATTACTCACATTATTTGGAGGTGTCGTGGTGTTGCTATAACGATGATTGACTGCACGATACTGAAGTCTGATCGCCATGCTCAGAGGTAGTTTATCGAGGGGTTCAGCGGTGTAATAATAATGCAATTTCAGTTCAGGATCATATGGTTGGAAGTCAACAGACATGCTCTATCATAATTTTTTCAATTATTAGTTCTATAGAACATAATTATTTCATTAATGTTTGTATTCAATTTTTTTTTTTTGGATTATTTTCTCATTATTTCAGCCAGTTGGAGGGTAGTTTTCTTTTTCCTGTTTCACCAAACATTTATTTATAGTCTACCTATTTTTCTACTTTGGAACCGTCTGGCTCATCCATTTCTTCCAAGTCTTCGGAAAACTATGATGGCTCATGAACTTACCACATTTTTCCTCCCATCTTCTCATCACACCCAATGTGGTTCCATGTACTGGTTTGTACAGGTCGTTATATTAATAGGAAATCATTTGGATTATATATGAATTACTTGCTTTCGGTGATCTAATTCCTCACATTTTTATGAAACTTGATGAGCTATCTCTATTTGATCATTGCATTACCTGCACTCAAAATCTCTGATATACAGCCCTATTTTGTTCAAGTATCCTCCAAATGGATAATGTCCTTTGAAGAGCCCTGTAATTATTCCAAATATTTCATTGATACTTGTCTTCAAATTAAATTTAGAGTCACTCCTAATTATTTCAATAAGTTGAACTCTCCCTCCTTCCAACTCTACCCAACTGTCATATCAGTAATTTTTTTTTTCAGCTATCTAGATACTCTACCTTACTCCATCTACTACTTGTTTTACGATGCTCTATGGAAGTGTAGAGAAAATCCTCCTTCTGGTTGGCCACCTGAGGCCTACTACCTTCTTTGGAGGGAAGACCTTGCAGCAGAGGCTCTAAAACTTGAGAAAGAGAAACAAGAATCTTCTCAAGAGCTACTCGGCATGTATAGTAGCACACAGCTCGATGATGAAGATATAATTCCAGGTGAGTTTTTTGCAAACTTACATTTAAATTCAGAATTCTTGATATCAACAGAGAAAAGGAAGAACCTAATTTTTAATGCCGAATATAGCTTATCAAAAACAGCAGCACTACTTACTTACTTACTTTTGTACTATTCGAAAATAAATAAAGGGTACCAAAATATATGTTAATTTTGAATAAACTGTGAGAACACATGTTTCAATATATTTACGAAGTTATTGAATGTTTAATGACAATGCAATTATACAGTGTGTAACAACGAAAACTTAACGGATCCGTTTTTGAATATAAAAAGTAAGATTTTTTAAAAAAGCTCGGACACGTCGATTTCTAATTAAAGGGGGACACCTTTCAGACTAATCATATTTTTGTAGTACGCCCCCCTCGGAGGGGTGCGTCCGACGACCCTTGTTACAGGGCGATGTCTATGTTTTGTAGAAGTGAGTATTTACATGGAGGCACAGCTATCCTTGTTCACGATTCTCTATTTGAGAACTTTACAATCAGAAGTATAGATAAATATAACCAACTCATTGAAGAAAAAGTTTTTGAATTTACAATGCTTCACATAATAACAATAAATACATTTTTGATTTGCTTATACAGAGCTCCTGCTTCGGATGTAAATGCTTTTCTACATAAATTAGAAGGTCTTCTTACGAAAGTACCTATTAATTCTCAGATCATACTGACGGGAGATTTGAATATTAACTTCGAGGATCAGAATAGTGCTGACACTCAGAGGCTTAATAACCTACTTATAAATTTTAATCTTGTGATGCATGTAAACGCGCCGACCAGAATTTCACAGTATTCTTCAACCTTAATAGATTACTTTTGCACTACTTTCGACGAAACTAAAATATTATGTAATGTAAATGCAAACAACTTATCTGACCATGAGACGATATATTGCACTGTACAAATTGATATTGAAGGAAAGAAAACAAAACAAAAANAGAAATCTACGTGTCCGAGCTTTTTTTAAAAATCTTACTTTTTATATTCACAAACGGCTCTGTTAAGTTTTCGTTGTTACACACTGTATAGGTTCGTTGAAGTTAATTTTCAAAATTTGGATAATTTTTAAGGCACAAAAGCAGATTTTGAGCAAGTTGATGGCATGGAGGATATCAACAATTCCTTGATGAAGTTGAGATTCAGTGAAGATATACGAGTGAACGAAGCCAGAAAAATGTTGCAGAGTTCCAAACCAGTTCCTATAGTGCTCACGCAAAGACCAGATGTATCCGATCATGACTTTATCGAGGAACAGGAAAAACATTTGTATGGGATTTGTATCCGTACAATGGCTCTGCCAGTCGGAAGGTGCATTCGAAAAAATGATTGTAACGTAATGATCATATATTTGTTCTCATTTTAGAGGCATGTTCACACTGCGAACTGCAACACCCGTTATTACAGAACCTCTATCGCCACCTCCTTTATGTTTAACGGGAAGGGCTCCGCCCAGAGGAACTTCTATCGACTTGAATCACATTGACACGCCTTCTAACATGAATCTTTGGCCTCTTTTTCACAATGGCGTTGCAAATGGGCTTAGAATCACCCCAGATGCTCATAATATCGACAATACTTGGATTATTTTTAATAAAGCTAAAGGTAAGAAATCAAATTTTCAACTTGGGTTTATTAAATTCTTTAGAAATTGATTTCCTAACTGATATTTTTTGTAATAAATTGATGGAAGTAGCCGGCACAACGTTTGTATTCATTTTTTTCAACTTTGTAATCAATTTTGAACTTTAGGATGTGATTCTCAATTATCTTGGTTTTAGTTTCATTAATACGGCATTGAAATGCTAAGTATTGTAAATTGGCAAATGAACTAATATTTCTTCTAAGGAATCCGAACTCCACTGGAATATGACCAAAAATTGCAAAATAAGATATTATTGACCAACTCTGTTGTAGGAAATGAACCTCAAATGGAACATGCTGGTTTTCTCTTGGCCTTGGGTTTGAATGGACACTTGAAGAATCTTGAGTTTAACAGTTTGTTCAACTATTTAGAAAAAGTGCATGAAATGACTAGTGTCGGTATATTATTGGGTGAGTTGCTTAAAACACTCTGTACTGTAGTAAATTGGCATTATAATTAAATGAAATCAGTATTGAATTACTATGGTTAAGCTCCAATTTTCATATGATTTGATATGCCATAAACATGTTTTTTTGGTCACGTCTGGTATTTTTTAAAGGTTTGTCGGCAGCTTTTCGAGGTACTTGCCATACGGGCCTTACCAAAATTCTAGCCATACACGTTGAAGCTCTCCTACCTCCTACATCTATGGAGTTGGACATCCCTCAAACTCCTCAGGTCGCTGGTTTGCTGGGAGTAGGCTTAGTTTACCAAGGTACGGCACACAGACATATGACAGAGATTCTACTCTCAGAAATAGGACGTCCTCCTGGTCCCGAGATGGAGAATAGCATTGATAGAGAGTCCTACTCATTGGCTGCCGGACTTTCTTTAGGGTTTGTTACTGTAATATAGTTAAGGTTAGGATTGTTTAAATGCAGTAGCTCATCAACTCATATTTTTCAAATTATCATTCATTCCCTTCTCCATATTTTCAAATGCATTACTTATCTGAGTTCTACTTATTCGGATAAAAACTATGGAACTGAAACTCTAGAGAATATTAAAAGACTATATGAATGATGTATCATACATACCACTATTTAACCAATCATTAAATACAGTAGTGTGCTATGGAAACCTTCGTTCTTAACATTCATCAATCGCCTGGAATATGTTCAGAAAAAAGATTGATGCAATGAATTATATGTGTTCATTCATAGATATTACTTTTCATATGATAGCAACTTGACGTTTCATAATTTAGTAAGTAGGTCGAAAGTTAGTGGGTCTATTCCAGAGTCTATTCCAGGGTCTATTCCTACAAAAGTTAATTATAGCTCCACATGTTCAAACGCGACCAAATAGGTCCAGTTTCTTAATGAAACTGATTACTTTATTTGGCGAGTAATTTTTCAGGTCGGCTGGCAAGATTGTTTAGATTTCTGTAGGAGTATGGTTCAGTCATTGTGCAGTCCCTATCATGAAGTTCATAAAAGAAATTGAAGCTGTACAGAATACCTTTTTGAGGAAAAAAAGGTTTTGGCTTTCTTCTTCTCCATCTTTATGCAAAAAAAGTGGGAAACTTCCTAGGAAGAAAGAAAAAAAATACTTTCAGATATAAACTGGAAGAAAAACCCCTCTTGAAAAACCATTTTCATACAAATATTGAATCACTCAAAAGAAAAAGTACTTTCAAAACAACTGCTGTTATATGAACATTGAATTATACAAAAATCGTTTTTTTCTATTCAGCTTTCACTTCAAATATATAAAGAGATAACATTTCATCTTCAATTGTGACATTCATTCATTCGCTTATTTGATTTAATCCTAGCCATATGAATCTTGTTTAAATTGAAAGGGGTATAGTTTTAGGAGAGATAAGCTTTTGGGAAAGAAAGGATCTGTGTATTAAAGATGGGGTCTCAGAAAAGGGGGTTACTCATATAAGTTATATTCTTTTTTTTTATAGTTTGATATAGATTTTTAGATACACACGATTCAAATTGAGATTTGTAATTGTATGTCACCTTATTAGTTGGCTTGTTGTATTGGGTGATCCTTTTTATAAACATCCAACTTTGTCTAAGCGTGTAAGTAACAATACTTTTTCAAGACTTGAACAAATTTTGATCCAAAATGAAGCAAACTGTGTACTATAAATAATCTTTGTGCTGAAATTTAAAATCTGAAAACAGTTTTCTGATTTCAGAATATTCCAACTAGATGTCACTATTTAATTATATCTTCTTTAAATTTTCCATTCGAGGGTCAATTGTTAGACTTGAGTTCATTTATTTCTTTATTTTTTGAAATTCCTCGTTGGTAAGATTAGAAAACTTGGCCTATTCAATTTGAATATTTCTTACATTTCATTTCATTTCATCTTTATTTGCCTCAAGAAAATTTTACATTTTATAGACATGTCCAAACCTTAACCCAAATAACTAAAGATAGATGATAGAATAATTTGTAGTCCTGGGAATATAATCGAGGTTGAAAATGATTGTGATATGGGATATTGAAGAATAAAAAAACATATATGATCTTCATACAAGATAAAATACATTTTAAGGGATGACTAAATATGAATATATAAAATGTAAAATGTATGAATTATATATAAAACGTAAATGTATAAAATATATGAAGTATGATGTATAAAATGTAAAAAAATATATAATGTTAATGTATAGAATGTCAAATGAATGAAATATAGATAATATATGGATATATACTGTAACAATAAAATGGGAAGTTATATTCAATAACTGTGATTATCCATAACAAATGCTGATTTTCAGCGATCAACTGAGTAAATTCTTGGAAGTTGTAAATACAGTTACTAGATAAAATACATTTCAATTTGGATTTGAATATTTTTCGAGGTAAATCTCGAAATTGAGATGGTAAGTTGTTATAGAGTCCCGTATCAATTTTGGTGGTTTTTTTGAAGCCTTGTTTTTGGTTCAACTATTCTGGTTTTAAACCTTGTATCATATTCATGTATCTCTTCATGAGTTTCATTGAATTCAATATTATTTCTGATATATATATTAGTTTGTGGTATATAATTAAAGCATAAACAGTCATTATTCCCAGAGCCGGAAATAAAGGCCTACAACTAGCCTCCCAATTTGACTTTGTAATACAGCTTATAGCAGACTTTCGTAAAATTAGTAGTTTAACTATGTATGTTTGAGCTGCATTACTCCAAGATAAAGTAGCATACTGAAGGTGTGAGTGGAATAGGCAGTAATAATAAGATAGCGCTGCTCTTTGATTTACAAGGTCTCGAACTGTTTTAATAGCAGAAACAGCCTTGGAGAGTTTAGTACACAAAAAATTCACATGTTGTGACCACTGGAGGTGACTGTCAATTTGTACACCTAGAAATTTCACATTTCCATACATTTCTGCCTGATTAGCAGAATTATTTGGCCTACAATCAAATTTTAGGCTTGCAGTTTTACTATCATTCAGTATGAATTCATTGCTGGCGAACCATGTATGTGCTTGTTGTCTGACATCATCTTGGGCTATTTTGAGATCTTCATCCCTTTCTATACTGATTGTGAATGTAGCATCATCTGCAAAGAGTACAGATAATCTGTTATGTGCAGCCACATTATGGGGTAGGTCATTCATATAAATGAGGAACAGCAGAGGTCCCAAGATTGAACCTTGAGGTACTCCCCTTTCAATTTGTAGGAATTTACTTTTCTTATTATTGCACTCCACTCGCTGTATTCGGTTGGTCAAATACGAAGTGAACATTTGTTGACAGTTTTCATTCATTCAATAAAATCAATATGAAAATGTATACTGCATATTCTAGGTTAGTTACTCTAAGGCATGGAGGCCATCCAGCTGGATTATCAGACTTGAATGTGCCAGATTCCCTCCACTATTATATGGTAGGGGGAAACAAGAGGTCGCTTACCGGTAAGTGCTCAGTGTGTTCGATTTTATTAAATAGAAATTCTTATGTTGTCATATATATGTATTCCAAAATGGATTTTAATGATTTTGAATTAAGTATATTTTTTGATTTGCCATGTCACTTGATCAATGTCAATATAATGAAAAATTGTAAATTCCGTGGAAAATGATTTTGTCAGTTACTTACGTACTGCACTATATGGAAACTGAGTTTTAAATAATATAAAAAAAATTAATCAGTCTAAAATGTGTAAATAATAAGACATTTAAGCTAATGTCACAAATCTGTCACTGAAATCATTCACTTATCACGTTATTTGAAGTTATGTACAGTCTCTAGTTTGAAAAAATTCCAACAATATGAAATCAAATTCATTGTTATCCTAATAATATTATTTAATTTTTTTTAAGGATCTCAAAAAGACAAATACAAAACGCCCTCTTTTCAAATTCGGGAAGGTTCTTCCGTCAACTTGGATATAACAGCACCTGGTGCAACGTTAGCTCTAGGTCTTATGTATTTGGGTACTGGAAATAAGGCTGTGGCTGATTGGATGGCTCCACCTGAAACTCAATATTTGTTGGATTTTGTTCGACCAGATTTCCTTTTGTTAAGGGTATTATCTAGGTGTAAGTTTCAACATTCAAACTTTCATCAAAATGAAACTGAACTACCAACCATTTTGCATTTTTTAAATTTCAGTATTTTTGTCAATTCGCAAAATTATGTGACTACTGAGTATTTATTATACTTCATTTATTATTAAGTGAAATAAAGGCGAAAAATATTTTCATTCCATACAAAGTGCTAAAAAAATTGTTAACAGTAAGTATAAAGTTATTTCAAAAGTTTGGTCCGTTTTTATGAGTCTACTTAAAACATAATATCTCAGTGAATTCTTATTCAATTTAATCAAAATAAGTCGACTAAGGTCGTTTTTTCCTGGTCCTGATTGGTGAGGGATCTTCTACTGTTGAGAAAGTTATCGAACTGTTTGAAAAGATTGTAGTCGGTTGGCGAAAGGTCTGGGGAGTATGGTGGATGAGGCAGCATAGAACAGCATTGGACCTCTTCTGTTGACCAGTGCCGGTTGCTGCTGATGCAATTTTCTGTACATTCCATCGATTTCCTCACGACAGGACTGCTGTGATGGTTTAGCCAGATTGCAGAAAGTCATAGTGAATCACACCAGCTGCTGACTACCATACTGTAGCCATGGTCTTTTTTTGGTGGGTTCACTATTGGGAAGTGTCTGGATGAATCAACGGTTTCCAACCACTATCCTGAACGTCTACTGTTGTCGTAGATGATTTACTTTTCATCACACGTGATGATCCGATCCAAAAAAGGATCGTTTTGGTTGCGCAAAAGCAAAAAAGAACAGACCTCGAAACGTGGCAACTTCGGTCGATCGTTCAAATCATGGGGCATCCATTATTCGAACTTTTTGACCTGTCCAATACGTTTTAAATCATCAAAAACCCCATGGAGGCTGACTCCCAGTTCTTCCGCCATCCCATGCTCCGTTTGTGATGGGTCAGTCTCCACCATAGCCAAATGCTCGGCAGCGCTTTGCTTCTTTTAAAATTTGTAGTGAAAAATTGGCAAAAAATCGCTTAACGACATCATATAGAAATAAGCTGAAGAAAGGCAAAAAATTAAAATTTTGAAAAAATTAACATTAACAATGTATAGAGAAAAAAATTCTCTATCGATCAATATATACCACAATACAGTGGAATAAATATTTATTAAGATATGGATCTACAAAAACACATGATATTAAGAAGGGAAAAACTTTTGAAACAATATAATGGTTAGACAACTTTATTTTGCCTGCTGCTACTCATGCATGAAATATGGAATGAAGAATGCACTGGGATTATGCCTCGGACGCTTGAGAAATTTTTTGAATTAAAAAAATGAGCATTGAAAATTATAGGTGGTCTGGGTTTTTGTGATTCACATAGAAATGTTTTCAATTTTATTTATACTGTTGCTGTGTTAGGTTAGATTAGATCCAAATTTAGTGGGTCTATTCGACCCTCCACCGCAACCTGCAAGGATTTATTGTGGCTCACACCTGTATCTATAGAGTAGGGAGGGTGAGTGTAAGCCCACAGGTCAAATGGTAAGAGTACGGCTCTGCCGAACTCTAAAAACCTGATTCGGTCCCCAGCGGGGCAGGCACAAAGTATGTGCTCTGCTGTTTCATCATTTTACAAACATAGGCCACACATACTGTCTTCCGACAGTCCGAGTCTCTGCATATGATGATTTTCAAATGACAGCGACCTGTAAGAAAACCTGTTAGACATCGTAGTTCATCCCCACAGTAGTCCAACAACTGTTTGGTATCAAGCTTCGAAGGGTGAATAAACGTCTTGAGTGAACCAATCCTGGAAGACTCTGCCAGAAGTACATAAATCTACTTGCCATCCAGGTGTTCAATCTTTGTTTGGCAAAGCCTAAAACAATGTCAATGACAGGTTCTGGTCCGATGAAGCTGCTTGCAGCACCCTCCTTTGCAAGGGAGTCAGCAGCCTCATTGCCTTCCAGGCCAATATGGCCAGGAATCCAGACCAGAGACAATCTGTTGAGTCTTCCTATCGAGGAGAGTCGTTTTTGGGAATTTGCTACCAATTTAGACGTTGCTCGGTAGGAGCAATGAGCTTCCAACGTCGCTCGACTATCCGAGAATATTTTTATTGACATGTGTATGAGGTTGGATTCTTCCAATCTCACTGCACACAATTCAATAGCGTAAATTTCCGCTTGAAATACAGTCGCATAGGTTCCTAGGCAGGTTGATATCTCTGTCCTGGGTCTGCGACTGAAAACACCTGCACCAGAACTGGAACCTGTGAACCAACAAATATCTGCTGCTAATATTTCCTTCTCCCAGAGAAACCAGTCCTCTCTACTCGGGCAGTTCGTAGTTGACAGTTGGTCGCATAAAGTCAGAGGTCATTTGCAGAATGCTGTGACTTCCAATGTCAACCAACAGTCTGTTGCACTCTGCATTAAATTGATTTGTGCAATTGGCAATGTGCACAAGTCTATATGCAGTCCATCTAGCCTCTCTCTATGCCTATCCTTTATATTTAGGTAGTGCATTGTGAAATGCTCCTTCAATATCGAGAAATACAACAACCGCAATCTCCTTGTTGTCAAGGAATTGGGAGATTTTCTCTACAAAGTTGTTTAATGCTAAATCTGTCGATTTGCCAGTATGATAAGCATACTGGTGGTGTTATTCAGGGGGGAAGCATATAATGCCACCCTCCTGATGTGTCCTGTTGCTGAGTACTCTGCTTGTCTACTTACTTTTTATATTTGAACAAAGTGCTCATCGTTCCTTATGTAATTTAAATTATATTGACGATATTTCTTAACAGTATGTTATCATCTGTTTCTGAAACTGTATAAATAAATATTCAGTAGTTGAGACAGATTTTTCTTGCTTAATTATATCAAATACTTACATTTCAGCTCTTCTATTGAAAATACTTTTCCCTCACCAGAACAAAAATACTGTCTCTCGACGTGCGTTTGACTAACCAAGTTAGTATTATCAGGAAATGATCAAGACTACTACAACAGTAGTCTTGAGACTAGTATACTACTAGACCAGTTGTTTTATGATGCTAACTTGCATAACGTGTATCGAGAGAGTATTTTTGTTCTGGTGAGAGAGGTTCCAAATTCTTCTTATCATTTCAGCTCTTATTCTGTGGGCTGATGTTGAACCTTCAAAGGAGTGGGTAGAAGGCCAAGTACCACCAACAATAATTCCGCACTGTATGGTCAAACCCTGCCACTACTTAGATGTGGATTACGAAGCTATGAAGTAAGAAAGAATAATTGGCTACTTGTATGTCTCTCTAGTTTCAACCAAACAAAAATTTATATATCGCAAAATTCGTATTTTGAACCTAATCTAAACATTTTGAATTTTGTCGCATAAGAACACTTTCTGATTGGCTGACATCTATATATTGTATGCGTCAGCATCATCAATCACGTTTGTTTGAAAGTGGTTAACAATGTTTCATGGTGAAAATCATCAGTTCTGACTTCCATTGTCTAATATGATATAAAATGAATTGAAATCCCTGAAAGAATAAATAAAATTGTTCAATTTTCAAATGTTCCTTATATTTTATTTTATTGTAATTTTATTTCAGGGGTTTTTTGCTTAATATAATTGTTATTTTCAGTTATTCATTTCAATTTTATTTATTGTTTCAGGGATTTCAAATTATTTTATATCATATTAGACAATGGAAGTCTGAACTAATGAAATTCATCATCAGTCACCATAACTAATTGAATGAAGAGCGCTTTAGGATATTATTTTCAGTAGAAAAGTAACTATTCTGTATCAACTGCAGATATTGAGAACAGATGGGTTTTAACTTGTTACAGAATCTTTAAAAATTCCCCCTTGGATTAAATGGTATTTATAAATGATCCGAGTAATCCGTGTTGAGCTTTCTGGTATCATGGTATGGTGCTTCCAAACAAGTATTTATATACTCATATATTATCATGAATGTTACGCTGGTATTTTTCCAAATGACAGCATACAGTGATTGTAAATCATTACTTTCCTAATGAATTTCTCTAAAAAAACAGTAAACTTCAATTTTATTCAATAATCATTTCGCACAAGAAAACAAGCATAATAAAAACAGGATCCAACACCACAGTACAGTACAACTCCAATAAATTACAGGCTGACGACCCAGTGTTGCCAAGCTGATAGGTAATTTAACCCACAGTAATTTCTGCGTCGTTTAGCCACTTCAGATTTTGAAACTTCTTCAAGTTTGAATGTATTCAATGCAAGTACTCACATTTGGCAACACGTAGATGTTATATTTTTATTGTTTTCTAAAATTGTCTTTGGAAAATATTTTTGCATAAGCGATAAACCAAGTAAAATGATCTCATTTTGGTTCATAAAGAAATATTAGCTTGAAGGGTATTCAATAAAGCTACAGTTGTTGGTTAGTGTTAGTAAAATAATGTAAAATTTCTCCAAGTCAGATTAAACCTGTAAATACTTCAATTTTTCCTATATGTGATAGTTCTTATTTTTCAGTCAAGCTTATTGTAACATAGTGGCAGGTGCCTGTTTTGCTCTTGGTTTGAAATTTGCTGGAACTGCTGATGAAGATGCATTCGAAACTCTTTTACACTTTTGCCATATGTTCACATCTTTAACTTCGAAATCGATTGCTGAATTGGCTGGTAAATCTACCATCGAAACTTGCCTGACAATAGTTCTTTTATCAACAGCGATGGTGAGTTGAAAAAATTAGATGATCCTTCATTATTTGGGTCTTTATTATGAGGGTCACCATTAAAGTTTTTGTGAAATATAGGGGATTTTTTTTAACTGTTTTATTATTCAGTGTTCAAACCGATATGCAAATTCCTTTTTTCACTCATTAACTTATCGATGTTATCATAATTCAATCACTATTCCTTCTGTCACCTGTCAACTGTCCACTAATAATGGGGGATAATTGACATTGAATAAATGAAAATAAATTTTGAATTTGGAACTGTTAGACATTAATGATCTTTGAGTAGTGGTGTGATATAGCCCAAAATATACAGAAATTGTTAGTATTTATCGCAAATGAATATAAAAATGTTTTCTTTTGACAAAACTAGTATTATTTCACTCATAAACATATGGTTTTGAAAGCCTCGAACAGCTAGCTGCTGGTGAAAATAAGTTGTTATGTGATAAAATAGGAGATTTCGGACAATTGAGTCACCAATTTGATGTTGTTCCCCTTCAAATAATCGATTGATGCAAAATGTCGAAGTTGGTAGTGTCATACTGAAAAATTATATATTTTAGTTGTTTTTCATAATTTCATAGAAGACTTTTGATGAAAGAATTGTTGTATACCATTCAGTGTTAACTGTTGTGAATCTTTTGTGTGAATGAACAACTTTCGTGGAACTTGACTGGAAACACCCAAACAGTGAATTTTTGCTTAGTTTCCGGTTCATTAGAATATCCACATTCGTTTCGTCACCCATAATAATCTTCTCTATAGATTTTGCAGCAAGCTGTTCGATTTTTTTTTAATTATTTTCTCACAAAAAATTTTTTTTTAATGTCGGTCAGACTGTGGGAAATTCATCTGGATCAGATATTTTATAATTTAAATGTTTAGGCAAAATCAAATTTACTACGTTCTGTGATATGTCATGGGACAATTGACTGTATGTCATATGCTGAATTTCAATTATCTTGCTTATTGGATTGATTTTTTTTATCACAACCTTCACCCTCACAAAATATGTAATGTCACAATTACATTTCGCCATATAATAGTCATTATAAAAGTATTATTATTTACTCCAATCAGTCTGTGATAAAATGTAGTATTTGTGTATGATTTTGAAGCTTCTTCCTTCAAGCTGTTTCATTATAGGTTATGGCAGGTACAGGTAATTTGGAAATAATACGTTTAGTACGTCATCTGAGAAGGAGAGTAGGTGTTCCAAACAGTTCTGTGGTTACTTATGGTTCCCACTTGGCCACTCATATGGCTCTTGGACTCTTGTTTTTGGGTGGTGGAAGATATACACTCTCAAATTCGCCAGCTAGTGTGGCAGCTCTGATTTGTGCATTCTATCCGAAGTTTCCTACCCATAGCAATGATAATAGGTTTGTAGAAAATATTGCGCTTAGTGTTGAGGTTTTTGATGTTGTATTATTATTCATTTCAGGTACCACTTGCAAGCATTCCGTCACCTGTATGTTCTGGCTGTGGAACCAAGGCTGATCATACCAAAAGAGGTACATTTGGACGAAAATTGTTACGCCAATCTTAGGGTAGTCAAACTGAATGGAAAGGCAATGAACATTAAAGGGCCCGGTATTATACCTGATCTAAATACATTGATCAAAGTTGAAGTGGATGATGACAGATATTGGCCGGTTTCGTTTGAGAGAGGTCGAAACTGGGAACTTCTTGAGTGAGTATCAATTTAAAAATTTTTTTCTAAGACTGTTTTCAATATTTCAGTTAGGTGTCTATTCAATTAATAGGTTATGTAACATAGCACTTTAGACGAATGAAATTTTGTGAAACCGTGATGGAAAAACCAAATGAAAATGATTCATTGTTGAAAATCGTTTTATCAGCAGAAGAGTCATCATAGATAATACAATCCATCCATTGTTCGATATTGGTCTCGGGAAAATTAGCATTTAAGTATTCCTGTGCGTACTCAGTACCCACAAACACTCAATGTTTGGAGAGGAATGTTAGGAAACTGAATTATAGGTCCCTTCTTTATCGTTGGTAACCTGAATTCTGTCAAATACCTACAGCTACTACAAAATCAAATTATTCCAACAGTACATCTACTTCCTAATAATTTTGGAGACATTTGGTTTCAACAGGATGGTTGTTTAAATCAAATTGCCTGACCAGTGAAACAATTTCTCCTAAATACTGATTTTTATTTCATTCTGAAAGAATGAAAAAAAAATGTTGATGATGAAATCCAATGAACGAAACGTATCATTTCAAATTGGTTTATATCAGATTATACCAAAATAAATTACAGACTGACGACCCAGTGTTGCCAAGCTGATAGGTAATTTAACCCACAGTAATTTCTGCGTCGTTTAGCCACTTCAGATTTTGAAACTTCTTCAAGTTTATTTTATTTCATTCTGAAAGAATGAAAAAAAAATGTTGATGATGAAATCCAATGAACGAAACGTATCATTTCAAATTGGTTTATATCAGATTATAACAAATATGAATCAGTATTGAAAGTTCCTCCACCTTTTTTATATCATTTGAAATGGAGGCGGTAGAGCCAAAAAACAACATTCAACAATTCTATTTTTCGACGAATATTCCAAAAACAACCACTGATATTATCTTTCTGAAAATAGATTATTCTAGTTTCCCAAAATAGGAACTTTCGTCCAATTTAAGCGACCTTGAGTCGTCGTTTCCCTTTTCTGTTACAGAAAGCAGGTTATCCCTACTCGAACTCATTAACCATAGCAAGTCTCAACTGATCTTACTTTTCAAAAGCCATGTTGATGATCTGTTAGAATCGTATATTTTTCTAGAAGTTCAGATGGAATTCCCAATAATGATATTTGGCAACACTAATACTATATCACCATGTCGATCCTTTTTATGAATAGGAATAAATACAAATGAAAACACCTTCCATCGTTGGTTAGGTTGAGAAAATTCAATAGAATTCAAAATATAAATGGAATGACATATTTCATAACTTTCATAACTTAGTCCACTTTTTGAAAAACATTCAATTTTTTTTACATCTATTTATGTAGTATGCTAAAATAAAGTACTCTACTCTACTCTAAAAGAGATATTCATATTGAAATTTTACTTACCATTTTTAAATACTGTGGAAAATCAATAGAAATAGCAATAATATATCGGCTTTCCTTTCTGTATAAAATTACCTTTTTATTTCTGAAAATTCATATTTCTGACCAGAACTTGACCATTTTCCAGAAAAATTCTGTCAACAACAGGATACATAGAAGTGAAGCAGCGAGCTGGATGCCTCAGTTATCTGGTGGATAAATTTGGGTACCGTAGCCAATTGGCTCGAACGTTAACTCATTCGAAAGTTGTTCCTTGGGACCCCTCTCCCACTTCCATTACCATGTTCACGTCCGATAAGTCGATAAAACTATTTTGTAAGCATTTTCTCACTGGAGATAATATTGAGTTGAGTCCGGCTGAAGGAAGACTTAAACAGGCACTCTTGAAGGTCACTTATGATGCTGTTGTTAAAGATAAGCTGATTGTGATAGTAGTTTTTATTGCGATGTTTAGGGTGAGTGGCAGATTTTTTTTAATGTGATGAATGTATAAAACAATTTTCTCACAAAATATGAATTAATTGTGAAGTCAGTTATAACTAAAAATAATGTTATTTAATCAAACTCTGTTTTTTACATTTTTCATTTTATATAAGACGTGAGAGTTTTAATTTTTCTATATAGATATAATATCTTTCACACAGTTTAGAGTGGAACTAATGTGATATGTAATATTATTTGCTAACTGGTGAAAAATAGAGTATGGTAGTTCTGTTGTTAATCTCCTAACTTGGATTCGAAAACACAATCATGTAATCCAAAAAGTATGGAAACAGCAAAATTCATTGAATGCATTTTAGAAAAAAGTTTCCAGTTTGTTTAATCATATTTGGCCTTGACCATTACCTCGATGGTCTAGGTCAGTGGTTCCCAACAGGTGGTACGCTGACCCCTGGAGGTCCGCAAGCCATACCAGAGGAGTCCGCAAAATATCATTAGAATTTATAAAAATATACATATTTTGTACACTGGCACAGTAATAGATTTTAAGTTTTTGCGCTTTCTGAGCACTAAGCGAATGATAACTTAATTTCGTCTGGCTTTGTCCAGCAACTAACGCTAGCGCACTCTAGTGCCGTCACTGTAACTAGATGGGTGAATAGTTTTTCTGTAGGATTACAGAATGCGCGCGCTGCCTGTCTGCAGCCGAGAAGTGAAGTGAACATTGCTTCATTGCTAGTAATGTCACAGACTGTGTTGTTTAAGGGTGTGTAATTTGTGAAGAGTTTTTGAGGAAAGTTACAATACACATATAGTTATTGAAAATGGATCGTTGGCGGAAAAGTGGGTCGTTAAAACGAGATAAACCTCCAGATGAAAAGGAAGAGGATGCATTTGATGTTGAAGATGTTCAAGTAAATAAATCAGTGCCTCTAGAACTGAACTTATCAGAGTCTCTTGACCCCCACACTTCGGCGTCTCTTGAACCTAACTCATCCAGGATAAGTGTTGAGTCTTCTGCAAAAATTAGAAAATACAATCCTGATAACTTGGAAATTGGATTTACATTCACTGGACCTAAGCAGCAGCCTAAACTTCAATGTGAAGCCAGCAAAACTGCGTCGACATCTTGAAACAAAGCATCTAGAGCACAGGTGTAAGTCGTTAGATTATATCAAAAATAATTTAGGAGAGCTCAAAAGATCTCCTAAAAACATTACTAAACACTCGGAGGCAAATGTACATGAAAATGCAACTCTTGCATCTTATGAGGTATCTCAGTTTATCGCTAAACGTGGGAAAAGTCATACAATTGCTGAATAACTTATATTACCGTCAGCAATAATTCTATGCAAGAGAATGTTAGGTGACGAAGCCGCTAAGCTAATAGGTAATGTTCCGCTCTCTAACAATACTGTCCAAAAAAGAATTACTGATATGGCAAATAACATTGAAGAAACATTGCTCGTCAGACTTAAGATATGTGACATGTATGCTTTGCAATTGGATGAAACTACAGATATATCAAAAAAAGCAACAATGTTGGTTTTCACACGATATTTGTGGGAGGATCAGTTATTCGAATTTTTTTTTTCGTGCAAACTACTTCACACAACAGAAGATATTTTTACTGCATTGAATTTTTTCAATGAACATGATATTACATTGACAAAATGTGTGAGATTATCTACGGATGGAGCAAAATCAATGGCTGGCAACAAAACAGGACTTCAAGCTCGTACCAAAGAAGTGGCCCCAGAGGTGAAATAGACACATTGCTGTATTCATCATGAAGCTTTAGTTGCCAAAAGGTTGCCTGAATTTTTGCAGAAGACCCTTAACGAAGTAGTTCAAATTATTAACTACATCAAAACACGACCTCTGCAATCCAGATTATTTTCTTTGTTGTGCAAATAATTGGCAGTGAGCATGAACAGCTTCTTATTCATACAGAAGTAAGATGGCTGTCACGGGGTAGAATCTTGTCAAGGTTTTTTGAGCTTTGAGATGAGGTTCGTGTCTTCCTTCTTGACACCAAGTATGCAGATTTTCTAACAGACTTTTCTTGGCTTTGCTCAACTGCCTACTTAGCTGGTGTGTTTGAACACTTGGATGTGTTAAACTTAAGTTTGCAAGGGCACAATGTGGATATGTTCAAAGTTCAATACAAGATTAGTGCTATGGTCATAAAGAGACACGGACTAAAAATGAGTCATTTACTAACTTTTCCACTTTAAAACAATTTCTGGGGAAAGTCTTCCTGAACAGATAAAGAGTATTGTAGTTGAGCATCTACGCAGCCTGGCCTCCACTGACTGGCCTCTCCCCGAACCTGATCCTGGCGATAGTTGGATTCGAAATCCCTTCAGCTGCAAAGAAATAGATAGAATCCAAGACCTCACCAAAGAAGAAAAAGACCAACTTGTAGATATGTCTAGCTGTGGTACGATAAAAAGCATTTTTAATGGTGAACAAATTGCAGACTTCTGGGAAAAAGCATGCAAGGACTACAAAAAGCTTGGAGATAAGGCAATGAAAAAGATACTTCCATTTGCAACTACCTATCGGTATGAACAAGCAATTTCCTCCATGTGCTTCATGAAAAATAAGTACAGGAATCGATTCGACATGCGGTCGGATTTCAGAGTGAAAGTGTCAAGTCTGGAACCGAACATTTCAGAAATATTGGACTCAAAGGTCAGATTCAACTTATCTTGTTAAGAAAAATCTTCAACAGTTTTTGATAAATGTAAAACAATAAAGACAACATTCAACATAAAAATTTAGGCTTAATCTTTTTCCCTAAAATCTCAACCTTTATTTCTAAAACAATAAAAAAATGAAAACTCTTAATATGGCTCTAGAATATTTCAACTTTAGGTTTATGGTCCTTGCCGTTATGTCAACTGGATGAGGGGGTCTTAGGAAAAATATTTGTTGGGAATGTCTGGTCTATGTCAACAGAAACCCACATCTTTTTCGCAAGAACAGAGTGGAAAGCATCATGTCCAAATATGGTCTTGAGTATCTCCACGATTATGACCTTGACTCTGTAAGCCATTAGAAATAACTTAACATGCAGTGTGATAAAATGGTATGTAAGTTGATGAGTGTGTCAAGAAGTTGATAGAGAACTTTCCAAACACCAGTTATAATATCTGATTTCGTCCATGGCATTATGATAAAGGTCTCTAGTAACTAAGCCAATATCATAATGTCTTCTGGTCAATATTATATTCGTGAAGATAGTCAAGACTACATCCAGACGTAAAATTTTCCAGTTTTTTTCAAGACCTTGATAGAAAATATAGGTTTCTGTTTGAAAAACGACCTTGAACTTGATATGTCCGTCGAGGTAATGGCCAAGGTCAAATCTGATTGCACCATTGAATAGCCAGAGAAAAACCTTTACACTGTTTTCTGAAACTTTTCTCTTTGATGCATTCTATAAAAGTTATTTCATTGTCTCCATATTTTTGAAAGACCAGAACTGTAATACTAACCGTATTCACTAGTCAACTAAATGCATTTCACTCACCAAGTTGTCGTTGTCTTCAGGAGATGAAGTAAAATGTTTATAAAATGAAAATATATTTTCACTACACCAAACTATATAGTTGGGACGACGAAAGAAAACACACATCTTCTCAATAAAATACAGGACAAAATATACTTTTACATAGCACCCTTTTCTTGTACTTTTTCAAGAAATATAAAGAAAACAACAGTTTTTAACATTTTTCATTTTTGCGTATGTGAAAATAGTCAAGGATTGAAATCTATTGACCTATACTGGACCTGTGAAAAACCACGTACAGATGACCCTCTGTTACAACTCCATCTATTCATTAGACCGTAGATTGAACTATAATTTCGAATTGGTTATAAAGTTACCTATTTTTTCTCTAGTTAGTTTCCGAACTTCAAGAATCTCCAAACCCTCAGGCTATTTGGCAGTTCAAGATAATAACTAAACAGGTTTTCTCAAATTTGAAGGGATTTTCAAACCTGATCTCCAAGGAAATAATTTTATCGCTCCATCAAGGAATAGTAGGAGTTTTCGACAGTTGGGAAACAAGTTTGAAACCTGTGTTGCAGAATTTTCTGTTGGGCAAGGACTTCACTCACAGTTTAGGTAGCCTCGATGTGAAAAAGTTGGCAAGTTACACAACTTTTTATAATTTTCCTTGGAAAAGTGGAATGTATGAAGGTGAATTTTTTGAAGTTTTTCTCAATTTGCAAAAGATCGCAATAATCTTTTTATAATTTCAAACCATATATATATAGTGATTATTTCATCAAGTAAATTATCACCTTCAAGAATAAGCGCCTTCAAAAGTATACAAATTTGAGAAGTGTGTTAAATATAAATTTAAAACATTTCTATGTCAGCCCTGTATGACAATAAATAGACTCCGACTTCATATATTTTTTCAGGTACTATACAATCCAAATGAGACTGAACTAGTCTCGACATCAAACCAAGTATACTGTGGCAGTTTTAATATACTCATAACAATAGCCTTATTTATCAAAATGGTTGCCTGCCTTATACGATTAATGGCGAAATCAATATTCTAGGCAATCATTGTTATTTCTGATATAGACGTAATCAATCATATCAAGCAACCACCTTGCCCAGCTAAGAATAAAACAAAATTACTGGATCTAAATTGAGATATCCAGAAATCCTGCTTGTTTTCTCTAACCAACATATATCTGCAATTCATTTATTGAAAATGCTTTCAGAAAATGCTCTTGAAAACATTTGAAGGTTTTTGGACGATAAAGACACAATCTATGTCTTCGAGATTTTATTTAGATACATAGTAAATATTATTCTTCTATACTTATCATACATTTTATTTAATTGTCATTAATAATATTTTATAGGAACAATGCATTGCCATAATGCAGCAAAATTATGAGTTGTACTCAGCACTGATTTAAGTCTAAGCTCTGAAGAAGCGACAAGTAAAATTGCGAAACAGTGAAGGCATAGATGTACTTTTTAATGTCCAAAAACCTGCAAAGTTCTTCAAAAATATACATGTAATTTTTCATTAGAAACATAATTGTTGTTCCTAATATGGTTTTACAAATTCTTCACACAAAATTTTGTATTTTGAATATAAATATTTCAAAGACCTCAATTCATAGTCCCCAATAATAAATTGACTCTTGGTTTCGGAAATGTTAAAGAACAATTTATTTTTTGTTTGTTTTAGGTTTTACCGAGAATTGAAAAAATCTTGAACAAAAATGTCATGACTAGGTAATAGTTTACAAAAGTGAATAAAAAAAGTATCACAAAAAAGATACAAAAAATATTTGTAGAACTGAATTGGGGGATGTTGATATCACTTTTTATTTTGAAATTTTCATTTTTACTCAAGTACAACATATTATTATTTTTTTTTTAATATAAATTAATTTCAAAGGTTGAAATTCATTTTTAGAAATTAGAAGTTCATAACAACCAATCATGATGTGTCAAATTACTTATGAAATGAATTTTACGCTCTTCCAGGATTTCTATATATCTCAATCTAAACATTTTCCATACAACTTGTCAGTAATACACTCTAGTCATTAAATAAAAAGTAAGTTGTACTGAACTCCCTTTTCAACACAGCAAGTACTTTCAATTGACTCTCAAAATTAAGCTATCCTCAAAAACTTTGACGGATGAATGAATAATTTGAACTAACCTCGAACAAAGTGGAATTCTCAACAATCGAACCAGCAACAATATTACTACAAATTCTGACACCATTAATAATAGTGTCTTGTAGTCAGAAACTAAAATCAATTTGATATCAAAACATTTATTGAGCTCAAGAACAGATTCATATTTTTTGTTTACATTTGAAATGTTAATTATAAATCCTTTTGGTAGAAACAAATTAACTGTGCAAATGATGATAAATCAGTTAATCTTGAATTGAACATATGGAGTTAATCCAGACAATATAATAAGGTATTATGCATACATTTCCTAATTACAAATATAAATTCATTTCACTATCTACCTGTGAACAATGAGACACTGAAGATAATTTAGATGAAATTTTTCATAACATTCTAATTTTCTTACAGATATCATAAAATGCCAGTCTATCACTCAAAAACTATTTTAATATCCACCTTAATTTATATAAAAGGTCTAATGAAATGTGGGAACTGATAATCGTTGTATTTTTTTTTCTATAAACCCCACACTGTGAAGGGCCACAAAGTTTTTTAACCAACTAGCACGTCAAACTGCTGTTTATCTATAATCGACAATTGATTATTGCTAAATAATTGACAGTTTATTATGTCAATTTGGTCAGGCGACAATTTGAACTGTTGATATAAACGACGGTTTTAAATATCAACACTTCAAAGTGTTGATTAGAGACAATCGACAGTTAGAACTGTCGATTATCAGTTGAAATGTCGATTTTGAGTAAAAGATGGTTCAAACTATCGACTGTGGATTATAATAAACATAATTTCGACAATTATGGTTGATCACCGGTTTTGTGTTGATTATATATAAACAACAGTTTAAAGTGTCGACTATTGTTGATCAAAGTATAAAGTGTCGATCAGAGAGAATAAATACTTGGGTTCCCTTCAGCACCCAACTGGTTCCTTCCGTATTAAAAAAAATCTGGATCTGAGGTTAGAATGATTTATCTGATGAAACTTGTATATAAATGCATGAAAAATAAAATGTACATCAGACATCGAGATATATTTTAAGTACATGTTATATGACAGATCTACCAGCACAAATGATTTTATGAAGGTTTTCAATAATTGCACGTTCAATATAATTCAACATATTTTCAAAGTATGAAATACAACCATCTACTTTGATAATTATTGTTTCAATCGCATTTATAAAAATTTTCCATAGAACTAATAACTAACAAACAGAAAAAATAGTGATGTTTTTATAGGTATGTATATAATATCAGTAATCAACACAAAAGTTACATCTATACTTGGTAAAAAATTACTGATTAGGTAAGTAGCAGCCATTATTTACAAGGGTATTAGAGGAACTTTAACTAAACAAAAAATCTGATAGATTTATTTTACCATCACTATCGTTTGATTGTGACAGCTAAGCTGTTGACAAACAGTGCATTAAAAAATCACACAAAAATTGTATATTAACAATAACTAGATTTAACAATTAGGTAATTCAAGTAATAAAAGTGTAAATCTTCTGCTCGAACCTTTTTTAGTAATTCGCATTCCTGCGGTAACCAGTAACAGAAAAAGTCCAACTTAGTGACAAAAATTACAATAAAACACTTGGAACAATAAATAAAATTTGATGAAGCGTAATTTCTTTTGGAATTTTTATACAATCGCCAAGAGAGCTGCCTTCATTACGTTTCCAAAAAGAGAGCGCAGGAAAAGTAGAGTGAACTCCAACTTACTCAAAAATTCACACAACGCCATCTACACGCTTACACCTTTCTATCGCACATTCAACAGCTTCTGTGATGTTTTCGAATACTGGCACATGTTTTCTGTTTGCTAAGTCTGTTAAATAGACTCGCGCCCTATTATAGTCCTTCACAGCATTTTTCGTTAACTGTAATAAAAAAAAAAACTATATGATAAATCACAATTCTCCAAAAATAATTGTATAACACATCTACTGTGGCTGCCATTGATAGTTATCAGAGATTGTATTGAACGCCTGGGAACAAGGACTTATTACATATACTTCATTATTTGACCTGACGAAGGCTTAGAATTGTGTCTCATCTGACATGACTGAAAATCTTGAATTTTACAACTTTCATTCTGATAGTATGTCTTTCTCAGGTCCTACCTAACAGAACGTGCCTAGTATGTTCTATATGATGGTGTCTGTTCAGTTGGTATGCATTTGCATCATGGAGTTCCACAGGGCTCAGGTTTGGGTCCTCTACTCTTCTTGGTCTACATAAATGACTTGAAAGTCAATGTAGCTTGCTCAACATTTATATTATTTGCTGATGACACCACTCATCTGGAAGTATATCACCCATCAGAACCAATTCAAGAAATTGTGGCAGAGGGACAGAATCAGATAAAAGAATGGTTCTTAGCAAACATACTTTCTATTAACCAAACCAAGACCCAAAATATCAACTTTTCTCTCAGACCTCGGCATCCAGATCTGCCAAGAAGTGATGATGTGAATCTTCTTGGAATAATTATTGATAAAGGTCTAACATGGAAAAAAGCATAATTCATCTATCGTCTAAGCTCTTGAAAATTACATAATTATGATAAAATCACTTGTGAAAACTGTATCTACAAAAACTATGTCGGCTTACTATGGTTATTTTTAGTCAAACATGACATATGCTGTGCTGAGTGGGGGTCACTCTACCCATTCGGAAAAAATGTTAAGGCTACAAAGGAGATGCATCGGTATTATCATGAATTCTAAATATCGCCAGTGCTGCAGTCATTGTTTTGCTGAGCTCACTGAGCACACTAACATTTCCTTGTGCATATATACTGAACTGCATTAAATATGTCTATAATAATTAATACAAATTTTCAACACAGCCAAGTTGATAATTATGAAACATGTCATAACCAGGACATTATGCCTGTATATCACAGATTGCATAGAACCAGAAAAGGAACCGACTACTGTAGTGTACATTTCTTCAATTGCTTGCCAATGACCATAAGACTCCTTGACAAGAGATTATTTTTCATTTTAATGTAGATAGTGTTTCTTTCTTGATATATAAAAGCAAGATGTGTATTTTTATAGATAAAATTGATTGATAAAAAAAACACTTTGATGCTAGATTTCCACTTGAAAGTTTACGAAACTGTGACACTTGTTTCGCTATACAATAGCATCTTCGGGTGTCACAATACTCTATTGTTACGCCTGAATGTTGAAATAATTCAACATTGGAATTTGAACTTGTTGATCATGATATTTTTCAAGGTACAATATGTGGGCCAATATTATGAATCCAAGAGCTGAATGACTGATTTTATACAAGAAAAAGACTATGGTGAACATCTTCAGAAGTGATATTGAGTTTAAAGACGTGTCTATTGATGAGGCTGGTTCAAATTCAATATAATCTCAAATATAGCAATGATCTCTAGGTTGGAGTAATTGAGTATAAATTTTGAACACTGGTTATTTAAGCTTTCAACTTATAAAATAATCATTTTCAGCTGATTTAAGATATTCTTGGAATGAGTCTATGAACTTTCATGTTTGTTTTCTCTATCAAAGAACCAGTACTTGAAGTTTTATCAAATAATAGTTTAGTACTCACTGTTTCGTTGCCAATAACGCATCCCTCAGTCGGTAAACTCTGAACGCACAACACAATGTCCTTGCCAAGTCCCATGTAGAAGGCCGCCAAAATTATACTAGTCATCGACCGCGTATCGTTCGTGATCACCATCAACAACACCTTGCTTCTGTCCAATGCCCTCTTCCACTCTAACACGTCCAAATTACAATCACATACCGAATTACAACTATTTCCATTGTCCTCGTCGATTCCACTTTCGCTCATCGCCGGATTGTAGTAGACCAGTCCGTGCTTCTTGATGAGAGGTATGGCGATTTGCTCTCGCCACCTCTTTTCCGAACAGAGGGATCCACCGAGGAAGATGTCCGTCAAATTTTGGACGGAATCGTCATCTGCTGATGAGTTCAACGGTTCCATGATGCAATTGATGTGAGGGTTGGAGAAATTGCACGTGTTATTGTTCGTCGAACACTGACGCTGGAACGGTTGAGTGGCCCACACTAAAATGAGTTCACAGTTTAGTATGTATTTCAAAATTATTGATACAGTACATTTGTCAACATTACGTTGATACTTGTGAGAAACAAGTTTTAACGATGCCTTAACGGTACGATTATTATTATTATTCCTAGCGAGGTTTGAATTCATGGTTCCTCACAAATTTCTAAGATGTGAGAAATATAATGCTTCTCTGAAGTTGGATTACAAAAAAAACACATGACAATACCACTCCAAAAATTGCTATAGAAAGTAGAACTTGTTGAAATTTCGATGGAATCCTTCCTTAGATAAACTAAAAAATCTCTTAGACCTTGACTTCTTATTCAAAATGTATATTTGCCTGTTTATTCACTCGACTCAAAAAAACATTTCTCAATATCTTATGCAGCTAATTCAGATACTCATAAGTACGATACTAGGCAACAATTTGGAACAGTTTATCTACTAAAATTAAATCAATGAGTTGTGATTTCGAAATCTTTCAACATAAGTGTTTCTGTAGATATGACTGAGAAGTGGGTTTTGTAACAATATTTTTTATAATTTGATATTCTCATATAACCCTAGAAGTATTTTTTTTAAATCTGTTCTTCCGTTAACCAGCTGTCGCACCCATACGAACGACAACCCTCAGAAGTCGAAACTTGTGCGAGCTAAGGATTAGCGAGGTCTTACCTTTTAACGTATGATTCCTAACACGGTATTTTAAATACAATGATATCCTTATAAATAATACTATTTTACAACCCAAATACCCTCTATATCTGCAGTAAATCACAACCTTACAGAAAAAACTCAGTTTGCACATGATTTTTATTCAAACGGTCTACAGTTTTCAAACTTGAAGCCTTGACGTGATTTCAAGAGATGATATGCAAAAAATAAAAAATAAAAATGGAAACTCAACACTTTTGAAAACGAAAAAATAAATTAATGAAAAAAAAAAGGTTTATGAATGCATGATATAGTCCACCATCTATAAACGCTATATACCTATAGCGCTGGTTATAGGACGAACCACAAAGGATTTGAGCAAGAATCGGGTCTTCAAAAGTGCACACTTCCAATATAATGTAGTATAATAGACTCTACCGTCTGTCGTACACATATCGCAGCCGTCGCTCGTCGAGAATTCTGCCATGAGAGCACAAAACCTCTCGAAACTGATTGACGAGTTTGTGATGTATCCGTTTTGAGGGTTGAAGTAGTTATAAAGCTTCTTAATTTCCAAGGATTTGTTCGTCAATTTCTCGAACGCATCCAGTACATTGTACAGATTCATTTCGCCTCCATAGGAGTCATATACTTCTCTCAGTTTCCTGTAAAATAACACAAAAATAGTAAAAAGTGCACATCTGCATTCATAAGTACTTCAATCAATTATTAAGTAGCACATTTAGCTGAATGAGCTGGTAACAAGGGTAAACTTTTACTCATTCTTCATAACACGATAATGAAGATGATAATTTCTTTACAGATGATGATATCGTTGTAGGGAATTGGTAAGTTGGCTAATAAATCTGAGTTACTACCAAAACTTGATAATTTGGTTATCCTTAGATAACTTTATACACAATTCTGGGGAAAACAATTTATAGAGAACAAATTCAATGAGCTATCAAGAGTCCCTTCAACTAACATTTATTGGGATACCTATATCATCAACCCATAGTGTGGTACCGGCTCTACGACAATAAAATAAACAGATGAAACATATTCTATCTAGAAGACAATCATTTCTTTTTTCAAAACAAAACAAACTTCATTCTCATGAGTTACTGTCACATTTCTCGCTCGTTAAATAATATATTAATATAGAAAGTATAAGATGAAGGAATCTAAAAGATTTACAAAATTAGTTGTGAAGATTGTGATAAAAAATATATTTACACTGCTCACATCAATTTTATAGACCAGAAGTGTTGCCAACGTGATTTGGAGAATGGCTGCAGAACTGAGGAACATTGCTAGAAACTATAGAGGCAGGTACATGAAAATCGACGAAAGCATGGGAATGGCCAAAAGTTACATGAAACCGCAACAAAAGTTCTGAGATGTTCACTTTTTTACACAATGGATTCTCCAAAATTGGGTTAAATGTTAATGTATTGTCTTTACAGATGATCACTTTATACATTAAAATAATTACGTTTCATTAGCTGACTGACTCTGGAAATAACTAATATAACGAATGTTTTCAACAGCACGTAAAAGTTCTCTCTGTTAACTCATTTGATGAAAAGTGCATCGAAAATAGTGTTTTCACGGTTCTGATATGTGAAAAAACAATCTATGCTTCAAAGTTAATGAATTTATCAAATAAATTTTCACAAGGAATATTTTGAATGAGTTTGAAAAAGCCTCAGAAAATGCTTGATATCATCACAAAGTCTTTTTTTAAATTTCGTAATATAACTAGCAAACCTTTCTCATATCTGTTTTCTGTTTTATCTGACAAAACTCATGAATACTATCTGAAACTTTTAAAATTAATATTTACAAACACAAAAATCCTTTTTCATCCTATGTTTTACTTTGAAAAGTAACCTTTCTTCACATAATTACTGAATCTTCATTCAATTTTAAAATGTTTAGATAGCTGGTGACATTAGATAAAAGAATTAACAAGTATTAACATAAATAATAATCATTAATAACAAACCTAAGCTTATAAGTGATTTGTTCCTCTGCACTTGTACCGTTTGTTGTAGAATTCCTTAAAATGTTGGCTGTACACTGCAAAGCAGTAGAAAGACTAGTGTGTATTTTCACTCCTTTGCTCTTAACTAAATTTAATAAAGTCTTCTGTCCATCGACAAGGTCCCGGTATTCCCTGAAAGAAAAAAAGGGGAGATTCATTAACCAAATTTTTGACTTCCACAAATTCACATTCATTTTTGGGAAAGTTTTTGGCTTTCTACTACTCCATCTTGATACAAAAAAATGTGGGAATCTTCCAAAGAAAGGAAGGAAGTAATCAATTTGAAATCAACAAAATATGTACCTACCCAACTATTTCCATTAGATTAAGAAAAAACATATTGCATATTTTTGAAAGCAATATTTGATAATCATTCCAATATATAATTAACCTTACCTGTCAGTGATGATTTCTCCCATGATACTCTGTCCCATTTCATAAGGCTGGGCCACAACCACCACACATCTTCCTGAGGCAACAAGATAGGCAACTTCGATCATTCCCACCGTACTTCTAGTTTGACTATCGATCACAAAAAGTAAAATGGAGGCAGCCTGTTTTGCGTCGTACTCCTGTGCTACTAGTTCAGGCGCCCAGAAAGATACTTGCTGGAAAAACGAGACAATTAGGAACTGGGGTTTTGGAATTTGCCGAAACCCCACTTACTGGATTGTAGAATGTGATGCCTTGTTTTTTCAGCTCAGGTATTGCAGTATCTGCTCGCCAGGTTGTCGGATTACACGAGCCACCAAGGAAGACGTCGCACTTGTTTGGACACTCTGTAATTCAAACATATTTTAATCTACCCTTTTTTTGTTGGAGAGTGGATCAAAAATTTAAAATGAAGTGGATCAAAAAATTAAAATGAATTTCAATCATCTCGTAAAGACGAGATTCTGAGGTATTGTTCATTTGGAACTGTCAAAATATTTGAAATAATGTTGATAAAAATGAAATATGAAAATTGGGCAATTTTTGTGGAAAGTAAGTTATTTGTTTCAGTTTCATTAAAGAACAGTAAAAAAACAGCCAAAATTTGTAGGTAATACAATTCACTTATGAGTATGATCTTTCGTATATACACACTTGCCACAAAAATGGCAACAATTTTAAAGGAAAAAGTAAAAATGTGAAGAGTCTAATATGTTTCAAGATTTTCATCATACACTCAATATGAATACTTATGTATCAAAGTTATTTACATGAAAATAGAATTAATAGTATGAAATGTGTGTACTTTACAAATTATGAGACCTAAACAAAACATGGAATGAAAAAACAGTACTATTTATTTATATGATTGATAAAACAAACTCAATTAGCTATTTTGTTTTCTTAAATATATTACTGTAGGCTTATTGTCATAATCTATTTGAGTCATCAATATTGCCATACTGAATTTAAGTCAATAATTTTGACTTAAATTCAAACAAACAACTATATACAACAAATGTGACATTCTCCAGCAAATAAGTATCTATAAAAAAAAGAGATGTAAGTATATACATGTTTGATGAACTGTAACATAACATCCAAATATTTTTTGGAGATTATCACCCTATAAAGACAAAAAAGCCTTTTTGTTGGGTGGAGTTTCATGACATTAGTGGAATTTATTTTGAATCTAAAAATGGTTAAGGCTATCGCGGCCGAGGTTGTCAGTGTCACTATTTTTCGGGTTTGAGGGCAGTCGATTTTTGGAACTTCATCCTGACGTTTCGCTGGCAGGAGTGGCTAGCTTCTTCAGAGGTTTACCGATGCCAGTCATCAGATATTCACTCAGGATGTATAAACCTCTGAAGAAGCTAGCCACTCTCGCCACCGAAACGCCAGGAAGACATTTCAAAAATCGACGGCCTTCACACCCGAAAAATAGTGACATCAAGTTTCATATTTGAATAATTCATTCGTATATTTCGGTCTCGGCATCCTTGTGTTATACCGAGTGATTCGCTAAGGTGGCTCACCCCTATAACTTTTATATTATTGAAGATAGAAAAACGAAATTTGGAGGTTGTGAATTATAGTTCAAAGTGTGCCAAAGTGTGTGGCATCAAATTATTCGTAAGAAAATGATCTTTCACAAAAAGCCGACAAGCTACTAATGATAATAATCATCTTCATTGTTTCTGAGAATTATGTTCTATGAAAGAGCAATATTTAAAAAAGACTAGATAACAAACAAAAGGAGAAGTTCAGATTCAATTAAGAAAAATTTTCATTACGAAGCTGCTCTTCCACCTAACCAAATATTTGTATTTTACTGTGAACTGGTTAATTCCTCACATTCTGACAATCACCCAAGTCATTATGTACTGTTAATATGAAAAAAAAAACATTGACATTCGGTTAGGGATGATATGACTTTTTGAAGCGATAGAAATACACCTAAACTGAAAGAAAAAAAGAACAATCCATTCATTTTCTCGCAAGCAACCTCAAGACAGGAATCACTTGATAATAATTAAAGGAGAATCAAACATTTACTAATGATTCACAAACATAATGTCACTACCTATACTATTCAATACATTACCTCAGGAGATCAAAGACTTGCAAATCATACCTTTCAAAAAATGAATAAAGAAGATAACTAATGAGTAAGGGATATTATAACCTGGAAGTTCTTCTACAAGGGGATATATTTTCATGATAAATTACAGCATTTTTGTTTATTTTATTAACTTTGCTAACGTATCTTATTTTTTTTTTTTCATATCTTTTATATTATTGTATATTTTCCTACTTTTTATTCACGTACAAATATTGTTTGTACTTACTGTTACTGACTTTCGATGCAGACGTTTTCCTTGTAAGTTTGGGGTTCTGGCTTTGCATTTCTTTGACGAAAACGCAAAACTCCCCAAAGGTGATGTAGTCTGAGGCCCCATTTCTCCTACTGCATTGCCTTGCACACTGGAGCATTCTTGCCACTGAAATTTGAGGAAAATTTTGTGAAAAACATAATTATTTACAGCTGTTTAGCGTAAATGTTAACCTATCAATTTGGAGGAAGACAACGATAAAGTCATCTTCAGCCTTTATGAGGTTAGGACCATCGATTTTCGTTTGTTTACGGTTCTGCAGCTTTCACAGGTAAGGTCGTTGGATTAACGGAAACAGAGCAGTGGCGGCTCAAGAAATTTTTTAAAGGATATGTCGTATGACGTTCAAGCAAATTTAGTGAAAGATATAATAATAACGACGAATAATTTTGAAAAATATATGCAATCTTAAAATACCTCAAAACCTGCAAAATGATTTTTGTACTTGAAAAGTTTGAAATGAAAACTCACCTTGTGATTTGGACGGAAATAGTTTCAAGTCATTAAACAAGGCCTGCACAGATTCTTCCGGAATGTGTGAAGTATCCCCCAGTCGTCCGCAGATGGCATTGTGTACCTCCCTGAAACAGAAAAAAAGTATATTCTATCCATTCATGAAACGTTTTAAATCATTTTTATAACAAGACGTTTTCATCAATAATTGAAAATCACCTTTCATTCAAAGCCTGGCTTGAACAAATGAAAAACAAATATTTGTGTAGTGTCGAAAATGATCTGATAATTCTAGAACAAATTAAATATTTTCACTTCAACGTTTTCTAGAAAGTAGAGTGTTTCAACGTAAGATTACCTACATTAAAATGTTTTTAATATAATTGCGAAAAAAGCTGTGAATTGGCGCCTGTGATAGTGCGACTGACTCACGATCGAAAGGTCGTTAGTTCGAACACAATCTCGACCAGATATTTTACTCTAGATAATTTTTATAGTTGAATTCGGGATGATTCTGCAAAGTTACATTGCTGGTGGACTACGAATAGCCATGATGCTGCCTAGGTGGCTCGGTTATTAACATTGCTACCCAGAATACGAGGCTAATGATTGAAAACTTTTGAAGAAAAATAATAAAAAATAACTAATGTTTGTTTGTGAACTCATATTTTTGACACTTCGCATTGGAAACGTGAGCGCACATTTCAACTTCCTAACATCATCTCATCCCTATTAATGAACGACATTGTCTCTTAAAATGTGAGAATTTGAACATACTCGGTATATATATTTATTCTGGAAAGGGTTAAAAAATATTCATTGGAGTATGCTGATGACTTCGCAAGTTTGCATTTTTGAAAAAAACTTCTTTACACTTGAATATTTATTACTGCCAAGTTATATCTTACCAACAACAGGCTTTCGCAATTTACCCAATGATAACATATTTTTAAAGATATTATAAGCTATAAGAACAAAATGAGATAAATCTGAAATTAGATCATCGATATTTTTATAATACCTGCCTTATAAAATGAAAAGTGAATCTAATTGATAACCCATAACAGAAGCCAATAATTTTTTACTGAATTTTCTAAAATACTGAAAAGTTTGGTGTCAAATAATAATTGTTCAGACAATTCCTAAAATTCAGTATGGCTCGAAATAGAATGTTTAAAAATATGTTTAGGATATGTTTTTTCCGTTAACCAGCTATCGCACCCCTACGAACGACAACCCTCAGAAGTCGAAACTTGTGCGAGCTAAGGACTAACGAGGTCTTACCTTTAAACGTGTGCTTCCTAACACGGGTTGGACGATAGCAAGTGAAAATCGAGCGTTCAGCCTGGGGCTTGAACCGTCGACTCACACATTGGCCGATTGACTGAGTGAACACGCACGTCGAACCGCCCAATATACATTCATTTAGGCGTGTTTCAGTTTTCAGGAATTGAATTTCATGACGAAATGGTTAAGGCTATCGCGGCCGAGGTTGTCAGTGTCACTATTTTTCGGGTTTGAGGGCAGTCGATTTTTGGAACTTCATCCTGACGTTTCGCTGGCAGGAGTGGCTAGCTTCTTCAGAGGTTTACCGATGCCAGTCATCAGATATTCACTCAGGATGTATAAACCTCTGAAGAAGCTAGCCACTCTCGCCACCGAAACGCCAGGAAGACATTTCAAAAATCGACGGCCTTCACACCCGAAAAATAGTGACATCAAGTTTCATATTTGAATAACTCATTCGTATATTTCGGTCTCGGCATCCTTGTGTTATACCGAGTGATTCGCTAAGGTGGCTCACCCCTATAACTTTTATATTATTGAAGATAGAAAAACGAAATTTGGAGGTTGTGAATTATAGTTCAAAGTGTGCCAAAGTGTGTGCATCAAATTATTCGTAAGAAAATGATCTTTCACAAAAAGCCGACAAGCTACCCCTTTCCATTTGAAAAAATCAAGTTAACTGGTAAAATTCATATTTGCGACTGTGAAATAATTCTTGAAACGACTGTGAAGTCGTAAGCCTCAAAGACTTAGTTTTCCCATGTTACTTGATCAAGAATGAAGCGATTTACATAATTCATGGCATTCTAGATAAAAAAATAAAAATTTGACAAATATTGACAAGTGAAGTATTGTTGGATTTAGAATGTCATTCTCGATCGAAATAAGTAAAAATATATAGGATGTCCCATTTAAAAATCGAAAGTTGGGGTCATTTCCGGTCAAATCAGAAGTACGGCAAAGCAAGTAAATATGTCAAAAAATGTAAATTTCCCCAAATTTCGTTTTTCTATCTTCAATAATAAAAAAGTTATAGGGGTGAGCCACCGTAGAGAATCATCCGGTATATTCCATTCAATTATCTTAGATTTAAAATCTGACATTCAGAAAATTTACCATACAACTTTATTATTTATACTGACGACTTATTATTGAACATTTAATGAATTGATTAATGGGAGTCGAGTCTACGTTTATACGGAAATGATAGAAGCACGTTCCACGGTCTATATGTGAAATGTCGAAATTGGAAAAGATGAGCGACTGACCTGTCGTGAAAAACAACATGATTGAATATAAACAAGCGATTGTATTATGTTGGACATTTTTCATATTCAACAAACCCTGCTGTAAGTACTCTACTATTTACTAGCAGTACTCTAACCTAGATGATATATTGAAATGAAAAGCAAATGACACATTAAATAAAATAACATTTACCGAATACTACAAACTTATAAAATTTCCATGGAAACTTTTTATCATATGATTTATGGACTAGATAAGCTGCTAAAATAAATATTTTTGGTAATTATTGGTTTATATACTCCTATATACCACGTAACAAACCAACCGTTACTACATTACAACCAAATACATAATGAATACTGATTAGACTGCAATAGTCACGACTGGATACGATGATACGAAAAAGATCCCACAAGACCATTGAAAGCCCCACCCACCAAGCACTATATAAAACGGCCAGACATTCAGTAATATCGGTCAACCAGCCGAAAAGGTAAGGGAGCTGGACTCCAAGCCTGAAAGATACGAAGATGACTTTCCACTAATATCAGTCATCAGTGTTCCAGCTCATCTTCCACAACTGAATAAGAGCATATTCCATATCGAAACCAAGACCTGCCTGGAAGACGCGGCAATTCTAGAAAGGGTTTCAGTAGATTATTGAGCGAAGCGCCGGAACCTATAGAAGCAGATGACACCAGAAGTAATGGAACTCGTCCGAATCAAAAGGTACTCAAAGAGAAGATACCAAACGGCATCTGAGCAGAGGACTATGTATCTACCTTCACAGCATGCAGAACACTGTGGCTCGAACTACAGATCCTTTGAAATTGTCACTAGTCAATCCGTTTAGCAGAACTCAGTATAGAATACCAATTTGCATAGAATATGCAGTCAACAACCTCAACGCCATCGATGAGCAAGGTGATCGACGATTACTCAGCTAAAAATCCCTTGACTCCTAGAGGATTCAACTACGCCACAGAAGGCTTCAACCTGGACAAAGGATATCATACAGTCTTAGAGTTTGACCACGAGACTGTGGTTCGAGCACAAGGACAATGTGTTGGTGCAGTATAGGACAGAAATTCTCCACCAGACGACTGGAATGAAAGCAGAAGTCCCCCCAGACGCACTTCTTACACCATACCTCTTTTTGATATACACAGCGGACGTAGCTGGGGAACTGGACCTATACATAGACAACACAGAGCCTGCTGGTCATATCCATCATCCACGGATAGATTACAGAGGAGTGGGCCAATCCCTGCAAAATTGGTTAGACAACTCAAAGGACACATCATACATATGCGGAGTAACTCGATACAATCTCATTACCCACATAGGATGCAACATGGAACTTTACAAACTGTTGCTAATCAAAACCATCCTACTTCCTGTTATCATGTATGGATTTACCGCCTGAAAACGATGCGAGGAAACATAAAGACTCCAGATGAAAAGATTCATGAAGTCAGCCTACGAATGGCCGTAAGGGTCTCAGAGACCGGGACTTGAATGTCAGCTTCCAATACACCAAGGACCTTGTACGAAATCAAGTTTAATACATCTTCGAACGAATACGGACCCCCAACCCAGGGCTGGGAGGCCTCCACTTGCTGTGAGCGACTGGCAATATTTTACGAGATCATTCTTATGATTCCCAACATTCGTCAAATTATCAAGCGATGGTTGCAATTATAGACTTCTTTTTGGAACCCCTGCAGTTATCCACACACCAGAAATGTTTTTTACACTTCTCTAGACGCGTTTCAGCAACCAAGTAGGCGTCATCAGGATATTTATCATTCAGATCTTTTAGGTACAAGTTGAACAGCGAAATAACATCGGAAAGAACAACCAACGAAACTTTCTCGTCAGTACAAGATGAAACAAAAAGAATATACAGTTGTGCTTAGGTTGGCAATCTCAGATTGAACCTACCATTCTAAAAATACACAGCCTCCTGGATTGACGTATTAAATATAATAAAGCACTCCGTGGCTCGGATACAATACTTACTTCCCAATATACTTGGATTTGGACTTGGACGGCCACGAATGGTTGAAGTTCTGCTGTACCCTCATCATGTAGATTTATGCTAATTTTTCATGAAAATCAAATTCATTTTGATCACCTTTTCTTGAACAAAGCCGCGATTTCGAGGAACGCAACAAATGTACGATACAAAACTCTGATAAAATGGAAGATATCAAGTATATTCGTGATGTTTAAAGAACGTTATCTCTCATGGCGCGGAGATAACGATATGAAAATATCGAAAATCAATAGTTTGCGAGTGAATTCATCTCGTTTTATCGAATGTTTATTTTCCTTTCTATCTTGGAATAAGAGGCGCCAACTGGCTTTGAAAAATTGAGCGCTTGTTTACTATCAATGTTACTTTTAGTCACTTTTATGACTCGAGGGTAATTTTGTCAGGAAATTGGACTTTTATATTCCAGTGAAGCTTGACAAAACAATTGGATTTTAGCAACGTTGTCAATCACAACATTTGATAAAAATACTCAGTCCTGGTTCTTGCTGATATATTCTATAACCATGAAGTCCACCTGTGGTAAATTATTTATGC